GGCGGAGCCAGGAGATTGAATACCTACCCTCGGGGCTACTCCAGAAACAACGAAAAGCCACTACGGTTGGCCACGTGGAATGTTCGAACGCTCACTGCAGAGGAGAGGCTGCCACTCCTCTGTCGGGAGCTGGACCGGTACCGCCTGGATCTATGCGGCATTCAGGAGGTCCGGTGGACCGGCTCTGGCTCCTGCCACCATGAGGGGTGGACAGTCCTCTACTCGGGGCAGCAGACTGCCAAACAACAGGGTGTGGGTCTTCTTTTGAACAAAAGAATGAAGGGGGCGTGGGAGCGTGGCGGTGAGGTGTGGGAAGCTGTAAGCCCCAGGCTACTTTGGGCTCGCCTTCCCATCAACCGGAGGCGAGGAATGGTGGTCGTGGTTACTTATGCCCCCACCGAAGATGAACATCCGTGGAGGGATGCAGGCAAAGCCGATGAGTCAGATGCCTTCTATGACCTCCTGTCACAGGTGCTGGCTAAAGTGGCCCCTCGGGATAGAGTCATCATGTTGGGTGACTTCAATGCCCGAGTTGGTCATGATACTGGCACCTGGTCTGGAGTGATTGGAGGGCATGGGCCAGATCAGCTCAATAACAACGGTAGGAGGCTGCTAGATTTTTGTGCAGCCCATGGGCTTGTAATTACCAACACGCTGTTCCGGCATCGGCGCATCCACACAACATCATGGATGCATGCCGGGTCCAAGCAAGAACATCTGCTGGACTACATAGTGACGGACCAGCGAATGCGAGCCCATGTCCTTGACACCAGGACCTACCGTGGAGCTGATCTGCCCTCTGACCATCGACTAGTCATCTGTAAGATGCGCCTGCCATTCTTCCACTCCGGTGGTGGGTGTACACCCAGGACCCCATTCCAACCTAAAGTGGCCTGGTCTCAGTTATCTGATGAAAGTTGCAAGCGAGAATTTCATCATCGCTTGCGGCTGGGATTGGCATCGTCCCCGACTCCTCCTGATGTCGAGGGTAAATGGGCGAGGTTTAGGACTGTGACTCATGCAGCTGCAATGGCTGCTTTGGGTACGCGGTCCAGACCTCCCCAGACACCCTGGATGACAGAGGAGTTGTTCACGATGGTTGAGAAAAAGCGACAGGCCCACTGTCATCGGCTACAGAATCCCACGTCAGAGAATGAGGAGGCTTACCGCAGCCTTCGCTCGGAGGTTCGGAGAGCCGTGAGGCGCTGCAAGGATGGGTGGTGGTCGCGGGTTGCTGAGGAGATGGAGTCTGCCTCAGTGGCCCGTGATCACAAATCTCTATTTAACTCCATCAAAAAAGTAACCTGCAGCGCCACACCTATTACCATCATTAGGGGAAAAAACGGTGATCCAATTTCCGACCCCCAGGAACAGGTTCGCAGATTTGCTGAGCATTTCTGTGAGGTCCTGGGGGAGGGAAAATCCCTCAGCCAGGAAAACATCGTGGCACAAAGTGAGGATGACCCTGCTGAGGCTGCGGTGCCTCAAATATTGGAAGAAGTCACCCCCTGTGAGTGGCTGGCTGAGGTGCCATCTGTTGAGGAAGTACTGAAGGCGATCTGGAGTCTGAGACCAAGAAAGGCAGCGGGCAGAGATGATCTTCCAAGCGAAATGCTAAGGGAGGGTGGCGTTTGTGCACAGACTGCCCTATATGACATCATAACAACAGTCTGGACCACTGGACGGGTTCCGCAGGATTGGAAGGATGCCCTGGTGGTCCCCCTTTTTAAGAAGGGGGACCGCACAGACTGTAACAACTACAGGGGCATCTCACTCCTCAGTGTGCCGGGAAAGGTCCTGGCAAGGATTATTCAACATCGCCTTGCCAGGCACGCTGAGGAGAGGCTTGCGGAGCCCCAATGCGGTTTCAGGAAAGGGCGGTCCTGCACAGATGCCATATTTTCTGTCCATCTGCTACAGCAGAGGTGTAGGGAATTTCAACAAGACCTACATCTCTGCTTTATTGACCTGTCAAGGCCTATGATACCATCAGTAGGCCTGGGCTCTGGGTTGTTCTTCGTGCATTTGGAGTACCTGACCCTCTGCTCACGATCATTAAGGACCTTCATGATGGTGAGCGGGCCCGGGTAAAACTACGTGGCCGGGAGTCAGAGCCATTCCCTGTACACCTTGGGGTGCGACAGGGATGTCCTCTGGCTCCCACATTATTTAACGTCTATTTTGACCACGTAGTTCGTGAAGCCTTCAATAGCTGTACCAGGGGAATCTCCATATGGTACAGATATAATGGGAGGCTGATCGATGCCCGGGTGCGGTCAAGGGATGGCTCCCTATTGCTCAACCACGTTATGTATGCTGATGATTTGGTAATAGCTGCTCATTCTGAGGAGGAGTTGGAGACGCTGCTGCTGAGACTGGAGCGTGCCACTAAGATATGGGGCCTTACCATCAGCCCCACCAAAACTAAGCACCTGCCTGGGTATTTTGTACCATCGGACACTCCACCCCCACAACTCCCAATCGGTGATGGGGCAGTTGTGGAGAGAGTGGGGAGTTTCCCATACCTGGGCAGTGTGCTTATGACCGGCTCCGGTTTAACAGCAGAGGTCTCACTCCGAATCAGTCGAGCGGCAATATCTTTTCATCGGTTGCGTAACGCTGTGTGGAAGCTACCTGGTCTGTCACTCCGCACTAAGCTTCAGGTCTTCTCGGCCACGGTCATTCCCTCCCTTCTCTACGCTTGCGAAACGTCGACCCCCCTAATGGAACATCTTCGCCGGTTAGAAACATTTAGGCTGGCCTGCCTACGAACCATCCTGGGTTTAACCAGGCTGGATTGTGTGAGGAGCTCACAAATCCTTGAAAGATCGAGGCAAGGTCGCATCGGTGAGCTCCTCCGGCGGGCAAGGCTGCGTTGGCTGGGTCATGTAGCCCGCATGCCCAGCCACCGCATGCCGAAACAGCTTTTGTTCGGCCGGATCGAGGGGGCTAAACGGGCGTGGCACAGGCTAGAAAAGAGATGGAGTGATGTGGTACAGGAGGACGTGGAGCTGAGTGGACTTGCCGATGACTGGTACCAGCGGTGTCAAGATCGGCCTCTGTGGAGGAGGCTCGTGAAGGATGCTACTGGGCAGTTGGAGGCAGTCGCCCTCCAACAACAACGGAGGGCGGAGGAGCGACGCTCAGAACAATGAGCGGAGCGCCGGGTGGCTAAAGCACAGCAGGTTGGCACAGTAGGGGGCACAGGTGGTGCATCAGCCACTCATCTCAGTCAGTCGACCCGTGGCACCTGGGTCTGCCCCGTGACCTCCTGCTAGCGGGCGTTCGACACTTCACGTGGCCTCAAGGTGCACATAGCCTGGCACAAGCGTCGTGGTGATGTCACCGCCACTTAGTGGCAAATGGCGGTTGTTGTTGTTGTGTGTGTGTCTGCGTGTGTGTGTGTATCTGCGTGTGTGTGTCTGCGTGTGTGTGTCTGCGTGTGTGTGTATGCATGTGTGTGTGTGCATGTGTGTGTGTGCTCATTACGTGTATCCAAGAGTCCTTGATCGATGATATCCACACGGTGATCTGCACACAGACACACACGATCCATCGTTAGAGACCCAGTAGGGGTCTCAGTGGGGGTCTCAGTGGGGGTCTCAGTGGGGGTCTCAGTGGGGGTCTCAGTGGGGGTCTGTGGGGGTCTCAGTGGGGTCTGTGGGGGTCTCAGTGGGGGTCTCAGTGGGGGTCTCTGGGGGTCTCAGTGGGGGTCTCTGTGGGGGTCTCAGTGGGGGTCTCAGTGGGGGTCTCTGTGGGGGTCTCAGTGGGGGTCTCTGTGGGGTCTGTGGGGGTCTCAGTGGGGGTCTCAGTGGGGTCTGTGGGGGTCTGTGGGGGTCTCAGTGGGGATCTCTGTGGGGGTCTCAGTGGGGGTCTCAGTGGGGGTCTCAGTGGGGGTCTGTGGGGGTCTGTGGGGGTCTCAGTGGGGGTCTCAGTGGGGTCTCAGTGGGGTCTGTGGGGGTCTCAGTGGGGGTCTCAGTGGGGGTCTCAGTGGGGGTCTGTGGGGGTCTGTGGGGGTCTCAGTGGGGGTCTCAGTGGGGTCTCAGTGGGGTCTGTGGGGGTCTCAGTGGGGGTCTCAGTGGGGGTCTCAGTGGGGGTCTCAGTGGGGGTCTGTGGGGGTCTCAGTGGGGGTCTCAGTGGGGGTCTCAGTGGGGGTCTCAGTGGGGGTCTCTGGGGGGGTCTGTGGGGGTCTCAGTGGGGGTCTCTGTGGGGGTCTCAGTGGGGGTCTGTGGGGGTCTCTGGGGGTCTCAGTGGGGGTCTCTGTGGGGGTCTCAGTGGGGGTCTCAGTGGGGTCTGTGGGGGTCTCAGTGGGGGTTTCAGTGGGGGTCTCTGGGGGTCTCACCGTCACAGCCGGGAACCAGCGTCAGGATCTTCTCCCTGCACGGCGTGCACCACAGCCTCTGGCCGGCCACCGACTTCCTGACCACCACCGCCAGCATCCCCACCACCACCACCACCGCCACCGCCGCCATCACCAGCCAGGCCCACCACGGAGTGCCGTCACCGGGGCCTGCGGGAGGGGGCCGCAAACGCCGAGAACATCATTGCCTTATTTCACTTCATCAATTTATCATTTCATTCTCAATCTACGTGACCTCGCCGAGAGAACCAACGAAGATCTCCGCCCTCGCCCTCGCCACCACCACAACCAAATGCCTCGCCGCCAAATCGGGAGCGGCGGTGGCCGATGGCGCAAAAAATGCCCAAACGCCGCCGGTAACCAGCCGGCCCGGTAGCGGCGTCCCGTCTCGATCACCTCGGCCTACACGGAGGCCGATGGTGACACCGCTGGTGCCGGCCGACGGCAAGTCCACCCAGGCCCACGTCCTCCTGGACCAGATCGCTCCGTATCTGCTCTAGCCCGTGCCGCGCCCTTCTATCCGGGCCCGAACAAAAGCTGCTTGGAGGCACACACAACCACCACACACACACACACAACCACCACACACAACCACCACACACAACCACCACACACAACCACCACACACACAACCACCACACACACAACCACCACACACACACACACAACCACCACACACAACCACCACACACAACCACCACACACAACCACCACCACACACAACCACCACCACACACACCACCACACACACACACCACCACACACACACACCACCACACACTCACACACACACAACCACCACACACACACACACAACCACCACACACAACCACCACACACAACCACCACACACACACACAACCACCACACACACACACACAACCACCACACACACACACACAACCACCACACACACACACACAACCACCACACACACACAACCACCACACACACACACACAACCACCACACACAACCACCACCACACACACCACCACACACACACACCACACCACACACACACCACACCACCACACACACCACCACACACACACCACACACACACACAAACCACACACACACACAACCACCACACACACACACACAACCACCACACACAACCACCACACACACACACAACCACCACACACAACCACCACACACAACCACCACACACACACAACCGAACCTTTGGTGGGGGTGACGGTGGTGGAGTGGGTTGTTGATGATATCTGCACGGGGCCACAGATGGTGTCAGAGGCTCGAGTACAGCCGGATAACTCCTCACGAGGGCACCTGCGTCGGTCAGAGAGACACGCGGAGGGAGACACGGGGAGAGGGAGACACGGGGAGAGAGAGACACGGGGAGGTGAGCGGAGAGAGACACGGGGAGAGGGAGACACGGGGAGAGAGAGACACGGGGAGGTGAGCGGAGAGAGACACGGGGAGAGGGAGACACGGGGAGAGAGAGACACGGGAAGAGGGAGACACGGGGGGAGACACGGGGAGAGGGAGACGCGGGGGGAGAGACACGGGAAGAGGGAGACATGGGGGGAGACACGGGGAGAGGGAGACACGGGGAGAGGGAGACACGGGGAGGGAGACACGGGGAGGTGAGCGGAGGGAGACACGGGGAGAGGGAGACACGGGGAGAGGGAGACACGGGGGGAGACACGGGGGGAGGGAGACACAGGGAGAGACACAGGGAGAGACACGGGGGGAGGGAGACACGGGGAGAGAGAGACACGGGGGGAGACACGGGGAGAGGGAGACACGGGGAGAGGGAGACACGGGGAGAGGGAGACACGGGGAGAGAGACACGGGGAGGTGAGCGGAGAGAGACACGGGGAGAGGGAGACCCGGGGAGAGGGAGACACGGGGAGAGGGAGACCCGGGGAGAGAGACACGGGGGGAGAGAGACACGGGAGGAGACACGGGGAGAGGGAGACGCGGGGAGAGAGACACGGGGAGGTGAGCGGAGGGAGACACGGGGGGAGGGAGACACGGGGAGAGGGAGACACGGGGAGAGAGAGACACGGGGGGAGACACAGGGAGAGACACGGGGGGAGGGAGACACGGGGAGAGAGAGACACGGGGGGAGACACGGGGAGAGGGAGACACGGGGAGGGAGACACGGGGAGGTGAGCGGAGGGAGACACGGGGAGAGGGAGACACGGGGAGAGGGAGACACGGGGGGAGACACGGGGGGAGGGAGACACGGGGAGAGACAAAGGGAGAGACACGGGGGGAGGGAGACACGGGGAGAGAGAGACACGGGGGGAGACACGGGGAGAGGGAGACACGGGGAGAGGGAGACACAGGGAGAGGGAGACACGGGGAGAGAGACACGGGGAGGTGAGCGGAGAGAGACACGGGGAGAGGGAGACACGGGGAGAGGGAGACACGGGGAGAGGGAGACACGGGGAGAGGGAGACACGGGGAGAGAGACACGGGGGGAGAGAGACACGGGGGGAGACACGGGGAGAGGGAGACGCGGGGAGAGAGACACGGGGAGGTGAGCGGAGGGAGACACGGGGGGAGGGAGACACGGGGAGAGGGAGACACGGGGAGAGAGAGACACGGGGGGAGACACAGGGAGAGACACGGGGGGAGGGAGACACGGGGAGAGAGAGACACGGGGGGAGACATGGGGAGAGGGAGACACGGGGGGAGGGAGACACGGGGAGAGACACGGGGAGAGACACGGAGGGACACGGGGAGAGAGAGACACGGGGGGAGACACGGGGGGAGGGAGACACGGGGAGAGAGAGACACGGGGGGAGACACGGGGAGAGGGAGACACGGGGAGAGGGAGACATGGGGGGAGACACGGGGAGAGGGAGACACGGGGGGAGGGAGACACGGGGAGAGACACGGGGGGAGGGAGACACGGGGAGAGAGAGACACGGGGAGAGGGAGACACGGGGAGAGGGAGACATGGGGGGAGGGAGACACGGGGAGAGACACAGGGAGAGACACGGGGAGAGGGAGACACGGGGAGAGAGAGACACGGGGGGAGACACGGGGAGAGAGAGACACGGGGAGGTGAGCGGAGGGAGACACGGGGAGAGGGAGACACGGGGGGAGACACGGGGAGAGGGAGACACGGGAGGAGACACGGGGAGGTGAGCGGAGGGAGAC